GTCCATTTTCTCTTCTGACTGGTTACCTGGGAGAAGAGGCTGACCCCCACCCTACTACAATGTACTGTCAGGGTGTTGTAGAGAACAATAAGGCCTCCCACTCACCCTCTTTTATTCTTGCTATTCAAAGTTACATATATTTGTGCATTACAGCTAAGGATCTAATTCTATGATCTTCCTTAAATCCATTGCTTAAATGCATTATATTTAGAGACTGTGATTCATTCTCTGAATTGCTGCTTGGGCATCCTTAGGTGTGCACAGAGATGCTCTGCAAGCAAGATACATGTAGCATAGAAAGCATAAAGCAATTATTTACAGGCTAGCATGCACCAAAGAGCCTGAGCTGTGAAGGAAGGCATTGGTATGCTTGCCATCCCCTTTGAGCACATGAGGAGGCTTTCTTGGGTAGGGAGGAGTTGGTCACGAGGGGATGGATTGTTCTTTTCTTCTCCCTGGAACATTGCCCGGATGTTATGGAGCTGCCATTTTCCACCAACCTCCTGTTTGTTTTGTTGTTTTATTTCTCCTGTAAGGATATTTTAATTTTTTCTTGTGTTAAGATTTTCTTGTTTGAATTGAGCCAGCTGTGATCTTCATCTCAGAAGTTTGCTTCTCTTTGTAACTTTTCCTTTTGTGCCATGTGTGGTTGTGCTGTACAGACTTTCTCACAGTGCTTTTTCAGGGCATAGTTGTCTCCTCAGAAATCTGCCAGGGGTACAAAGCTGTGTTGTTTCACAGCTGAGCTGGGTTTTCAGCTTGAAGCCTCTGTTACCAGGCAGCTGAAGTCCACTCAAAAAATACAGGACTTGATGCAATTTCATGTCCCACTTTTTAGAGCCTTAAATTGTACAAAGAAAACCCACAAAGGCTGCCCTGTAAAATAACAACATAAATGATAATCCAGCACTTCTGTAATCAGAGTTCATATATATCCACTGCCATACCAATGAAGGGCTGTGCTGAGAGGTGTTGATCTTTCAAAGATTAAAGTCTGATACGTATTTTAAGTTATTAAACAATAAGAAATGCACCAAAATTCTCTAAACCTGTGCCTAGGCGGCATAAACTACTGTTGTGATATGTTGTAGTATGTATGCTCCATGTAGGAGAGTCTTTAAAGAAATCCTTGTTTGCTTAGATAAAGACACAGCTGAACTTTTCCATTATTTTAGCCTAGTTAATTTTGTTAAAATGGTGAATAATTTTCTTTCTGTACCAGCTGTTTAAGATGTCTATTGTTTCAGCTTATCAGGGTTTGCAGACTATGTGTTATTCATTCTGGAAACTGACAGGAAACATACCTAGCTGTGAGTGTTCACTTTAAACACTCAGCAGCCAGATGGAGCAGCAAAAGGCAATATGAAGGCCTGCAGGCAATCAGATTCCGATGCTATGTTTGGGAGTTTCCACATAGTCTGATAAACAAGCTGTGCTAGACCTTGTTAGAGCAGTGTAGGAGGTAACTATGTGAAGGGATCAGCTGTGACTCTGCCCATGATTGCTGCCTCTGTGGCAGAACTGGCAGATGGGCCTGGAGAAGGAGTTGGCTTCCAGAGTCACAGACTGGTGTCTTACTGCACATTTGCTAATTAAGAGTAACCTTAGTGTGACTTAGGCACAGACATGGCCTTCTCTTGCTCCTGATAGGAGGGTGACAGTCTTCAGGACAAAGGTGGGCTGGAGAGCTGGTAACTGCTCTGAAGCTGTGCTGCAATGTTCATCTCAACTTGTCTACTACACTTGTAGTACCTATGCCAGGCTGTGACTCTTGCATCAGCAGTTTTCCACGAAGGAGTCCTTCCTTAACGGGATAAAGGGTGGGAAGGTTGTAGTCCTTCATTCTGACATATTTCAAACTGTAATCAGCAGTCTCAAATTTTGCTGAAACATCTGGAAATTCACTTAACATTTTTCTTAAAAATTCAGGTGTGTTTACATGTAAACTGGCCTGACTACCTCTCCCAATTACTTTAGTCCTGTTTCTTTTGTGTGATTAAGTCTTTCTTGTGGTACTGGACCTGGTATACAGCTACCTGATGCAGTAGGCTAGAGTGAGAGACGGGATCATATACACTGAAACATGAATTCTGATTTAATTTTTTGTTTAAAGAATATGTAACACTTTCTAACTTCATAGGTTCTTGCATGGCTTTGCTCTGCTGTGTTTTTTCAGAAATCTATCTGCAATGAAATACCTAGATAAAATTGTCACATCCCATGTGAATTTTTTTGTTTATTTGTTCAAACTTTATAGGCCTTAAAAGATCATGGACAGGATTATCTTGTTGGCAACAAATTAAGCTGGGCAGATATCCATCTGCTGGAAGCCATTTTAATGGTAGAAGAGTGTAAGCCTGATGCACTGTCTGCATTCCCTCTGCTGCAGGTTAGTAATCATCTGGTGTGAATTTGGAAGGTAACAAATTTCACTGACTGTTGTTAAAATTTTATGGATGTTTACATCTTTTGAGCCATTGTACTGACACTTCTCTGGTCTGTTCGACTCCAAAAACCTGCACTCAGTGCACTGCCTTGCCCTAGGGCTGCTGGGGACTCAACGTTCTTCACTTCTGCTTTTCCCAGCTGTTCTCAGCTGGCAGGAATTCACTCACTAGTGCTACGAATTTGTTCCTTTCACTGCTACTTCCATGTCTTCAAACACAACAACAATATCCAGAAGGAAAGTCTGTGGCCTGGTGTGTCTGCAGTTCCTGTCCTTTTCTTTTTGCCAGAAAAATTACATTTTTAAGAAATCATATACAAAGAGCAGTTAAGTTTCCTATGTCTTGACTTCTGTAGTGCTTTGCACTGAAATATTCCTGTCTTTGCCTTCTTTTTTCCTCAAATATATCTGCGGGATTGGGATGTGGGGGTTTTTTCTTCCACATTTTACTAGATGAATCTTAACTCTTTAATATTAATTTCTCCCATTCTCATCTGGGAAACTAAGGTATAGCACCAGCATTACAGATCAGAAAAAGTTAGTACCCTTTACTATTTAGTAAGTATGTCTGACATGTAAAAATCTAAGTCACCTGACCTTTAAACTATAAAGGATGGAATTATAATTTCCTTAATCTCACTGGCTTTACTGTTGCTTCTTACAGGCTTTTAAAGGAAGAATCAGCAACATTCCAACAATCAAAAAGTTCTTACAGCCTGGCAGCCAGAGGAAGCCACCAACAGATGAGAAGTCTGTTGCTGTTGTGAGGAAAATATTCAATATCTAATCTGATGAAGATAACCCAACTGTAGTATATTACCAGAACTTGCTTTGTAAGAGTAAATTGCATAGCTGTGCTCTGTAACTTGCATCATATGGCCAGTGTTGAAACAATACACTGTTAAATGAGAGTAAAAGGCTAATTTGTACCTGTTGAGTCCAGAAAGAAGAATTTCACGAAGCAGTTATATTAAATAAAATATGCTGACACTTGGTGTGTGTTCAATTAAAGGCATGCCTGGTAGGGTAAAATGTTCAGTTACAGCTTCCGGAGTACTGTAGAAAAGCCACATGTTCCCCAACCCCCTTTTATAAACTGCCAGAGACAGGAGCCACACCCTGAAAACTGAGAAGTCATTTAAATTCAGGCCTAGAATCTTTTGGGTTGGCTCTCTAGTGGTCTCTAGGTGGTCTCCTAGAAAGTTCACTCTCTCCCTGATGTATTTCACAGCTTAAAAATCAAGGAAATAAAACCTTTAAAAATAAAATTCATGATCCTTTTAAGTTTATGGGCAGAATTAAAAAACTTTTTTAATCCCCACATGAATCTCTTAGGAGTGATTTTTTTCACTGAAAGATCAAAGTCCTTGTATTTAATTGGCCTGCTGTGGTTTTCATCTGCTGAGAGCACCTACTCCCTTGCTCTTTTTGCTGCTTGGCTGGCTGGTCAGTGAGGAAAATGCCCCTTGAGTGTTTTTTTGTAAGGTTTTACCTTCTGCAGTCACTTCCCACAGTTATAAAGCCAAGTGCACTTGCAAGGCTGCTTACCTTTTCAGTAAGAGTGAGTTTTACCTCAACAGGGCTTAAAGCATGCACTACTATATCAGATTCTTTACCCTAATTTAATGGAACAATCACTGTTCCCTTTAAGAACATTGCCATAAAGCATCCTTTGCACTTAGTTGTTTCTCCTCAGTAGGACTCCAACTGATTAGGCAGTCAGCCAGTGTACATGAAGAATTGCTGCCCAGCAAAGTTAACTCCTTCCCTGACTTGTGCCTTAGAAGAGCCATGTGCATCTCAGAGGTACAAAGCACAAGTGCCCCATCACCTGGGCACTGCTGACTTCCAAACAGGTTTACATTAAAATTACCTCGATAGCTGAAGCAGTGCTTAGCCATGCTCAGCACAGTACTCGTTTCACTGGGCTACTCCTCTCTTCCAAACAAGTGCTATGATTTAGGAACCATCACAAAGGGGGTATCGTGGTACACAATAACCTTCGTAAGCAAGCTTTGTATGAAAAAAATAAAAAGCAGCAAAATTTCTGTTTGTTTTCAAGACTGCACTCACCCATACTGCTTCCTAACAATTTTGCTTATATTCCCTGTACACCAGAAGACAGTCTTAGCCAAGCTTTGAGACCCCAGAAATATTTATGTTTTACACAAATCAAAGCAACTTCAGTGAACACTCTTCTGCTTATGGCAGGGGGGAGTTCAGCAAAATAATCTGTGTGAGAATGGAATGGCAAACCTGTTCCAGAGTACTGAGAGCTTGGAACCTCTGTGCAGCATGACAAACCTCAGCCATGGATCATGTCACTGGCAATTTACAGCATGGTGTATGTTTTAAACCACTACTGAGCACAAAGCAGAGCACCAGACTCTTAAATTGACAAAATGGCTCACTCCTCTGCTTAAAAAAAAAGATAAGCTTCAAACATTTTACATTTTATTTGAACTCTCATTTTTTATATTTAGAACCAGGGTAACAAGAACATGTGTTGGAAAGGAAGTTGGTTTTTGAGTGCAACACAATACAGGCCCAAGACTTTTTTGATTTAGAACTGATTATTTAATCTCAGAAACTACAAATTATACTTCAATACAAGATACCTTTTTAGCATAAACATGTATTTATAGATATTCTTTCAGAGATACAGTGCAAGAGTAATTCAATTTCCTGGGGCGCTCTGCACCCCTAAAACAGATCAAACTTACAAAGAAAAATTCCATGAATTAATAGACTGCTTAAATGAAAGTAGATCAAAATACACCAACTAAACACTTGCTTTAGTTTTTAAAAAAAGCTTTTAAAATATCAGTACATGTCAATAATCAATTAACAGGTACAGATCTTTTACAGAAAATATAAATGCAGTGTAAGACTTGTGTTCAATCTTGTCTTTCAAGTACAGAGAGCATGTCTGTTTGGTGGGCATGGCAATCATATTCAGTTCCAAATTCTCCTACAGCAGCATAAAAACAAGCCTCAAAATCATCAAAAGGCTGAAAAAAAAAAACAAAACAAGAAAACATAAATATGGCTGTCATTAATAAAATCAGTGAAAGTCATCATTAAATAACAGTGCATTCATAACTAACTGACACTAGAGTCTCTGTTAAGCTGTCTTTTCAGGTGTCCAGATCTCCAGTCTCAGTGTCTAGAAAAACAAAACCCACCTAGCCTGGAAAAGCAATCCACAATGGACAGTAACATTTTCCAGTGTAAGTCCTGATTCTTAAATTTTGCTTAAATTTTGACAAATTGCTTCTGATTTTTTCTTCCCTGTATGTAACTGAGGTAAAACAGAATGGTGTTATATTAAATCTGCAATATTAAAATGACAGAGCAACAGTTATTATTCCTTCAGAAGATGGGGATTCTGATTTACACCTGGAAAATGTTTTGCATTACAGACTCGTTGGGAAAAAAGTTTTGAACTTACTCCATAATTTAATTCCAAATCAATAGATTCAGAAATTTTTCCAGAATGCTGAACAGCAGCAATAAAGCAGCTGGAACAGCCAGATTTTTTTTTTTTTTTAATTTGCATTAATACTGGCCAAAGTTTTGAGGTTAGGTCAAAAATGTCCTCATTTTCAAAAGTACTGTGCTTTCACTAGTTTTGAATGCAGCACCTCTAAACCAACGTGTTGGCTTTTTTTTTTTTTTTTTTTTTTTTTAAGATGATTGTGGTATGAAATTAGACTAATTTTATGTGTATGTGTTCAAAAACACTAAGGCTTATCTAGGTTCTTGCAAAAGCCTTATCAATATGCATTAATATTTAATTGCTGACCTCTCCTTTCTGTGCTGAGAAAGTCACTTCTTACCAGCTGTATCTGCCTAGTAAGATGAAAAAGCTGCTCACTGGAAACAGGACTGTGACCTCCAAACTAATTTCACTTAAGCTGTGTAGTTGCTGAATGACAGTGACTTCCACACACAGTGCCTTGAATCGAGTGTGAAATGGCAACTATTTGATAACCAGTGAAATTTTTACAGTAAGATCTGCAATATGTATTTACCTCAGGCATGCTACTAGTCCGGCTGGCATTAATTTCTTGGACCTCTTGAACCTCATTCCCATTATAATGGTCAAAAGAAAAGATGAAACTGTAAAAGACAATCCAATATATTTATGTTCTCACTTTTCTCAGTGGACCACTCAGGAACACACAGAGTTATCAAAGGTCATTGCTGTTTTTCTATGAACTGCAATTTAATGAAACATTAGATCAGAAACAGTCTATAAAAACATTCTTGCTTTTCCAAAATACACCATTATGATTTATTTTAGCGACAAATAAAGTGTCCGTGTGCAGCAGAATGCTAAATCCTATTCCATGAAGACCAGGTAAGTTTGTCAGTCAGTCAATTCTACTCACCCATATCTAAATTCATGGGGATACCAACAAAGTAGAAAGAATCTTGGCCATAGCACTCACATGTATATTGAATTACAGGAATAGTGTCTCATAAATCTCACCAGTCTAGATCATTGCAGCTGTTTTTTGACTATTCAAGGAGCTAGAGCATTCAACTTCTTGTCTGTTTTATTTTTAGAATATTAGCTCTTTATTTGCTGAGCCTTATAAACTATATTGGAAGGTTTGCCAGCTGTTTTTGCTACAGAATATGGCTATCGACATCTCTTCCTTCATGACTACAATTCCTCTGGAGCCTTTTGCTGTGAGGGAACCATCCTTGCCTGTGACAAGAGGTGGGCAGCTCAAGAGGGCTATGAATGCAGCACAAGCAGCAGAGAACAACTATGAAAGAAACTGCATCTTCTTCCTGGAGTAGTCTTATCTAGAAATGGAGGCAGCAATGAATTCATCAGGCAGAGGGATTTCTCTTTGAACTATGGCTGCAGAGTGCTACACAAATGAGAAGACTGAGGAGAACACATGAAACTGCAAAGATAGCTACCTTCATTAAAGAACTGTCACTTGAAATGCTTCCTAGAAGTGGGCAGAGAGGCAGGACTTCTCATGAGCAGCTGTGCTTTGTCACTCTCACAGCCAAAGTAATGGCGGTCACACAGATCTCTTCCCTTTTTATGGAGCAGTTAAACCGTCTGGCTAATTCTCTTCAAACTCCACTGTCTAGTCCTGGGGCCAGCCCTGTGTTCACAGGTGTCAAAAATTAGTTTTAAACTCACTTCAGCATATAAAACAAGCCCTGACAGTTACAAGTATCTTACAGAACTCTACCAACTATGTGCACTCATCAAAGATATGCTGCAAAAAAAATATTATGCTCCATTATCCATTGCTCTTATTTTCTAGTCACATAGCCTTGATCCTCTCAGGAATGTCTCAATGAGTGAAGTATTCCACAGCATGTGTCTTGCCAGAGCCCTGAGTATATTTACAGTTTATTACAAGCTACAAACCATATTCACTCTGTAATGTTCTTTTTTTTCCCCTATTTGCTAGTACCTGGCTTTTCACAGGTTCCAGAGACTTTTTAATACATTCAGCTTTCAGACCAGATTTTAGAAACTGCTATACATTCACTGTTTCACCTTAAACCAAAGAAATTCAATAAATCAAGAGCAATTCAATCCAGTGAATCATATTCAGATCAGAATCAACTTGCATTGTGAATGCTACTAACTCTTGCATACTGAGATTTGAATTTCTACATCTACTTCAAACACATAAAAATGCATTAAAGTATCCAAGAAAACACAGAGCTTATTTGAGGTGAAGTAGGAAAATGCCTGAAATAGTAATTTATAAAACAACTAAGAGAATTTGTCTGGGGTACCCGTTGGCTACATACTCTTTGTATGTAGGACAAGTTACAACAACCTCATTATCAAGGTTTTGTAGTAAAATATTACCTAAATTACAGTAGGAGAGTCTTGCATAGGTCAAAACTACTGTCAATAATTATGGTTTGGATGGATGGGTTGTTTTTACATTTCCTAACCTTTTGAAGGTTTATTTTACATTGTAATTTACTGTAGTGGTTTCTAAGTTCAGAGTGGTCACTTTCTTCCATGCACTTAATTTCCATCTTTCATTTGTGCTCTAGCTGCTTTTCATATTTTGGCATGTTAGGCATACATGGTTTGGATGGATGGGTTGTTTTTACATTTCCATTTTGGCATGTTAGGCATATGTGAAAACATTCTAGTTTTCCATAAAAGCAATACACATTTATAATAAAAAGCAATTAAAACATTTATTTGTAAACATTCCAAACTAAGACTGCTTTAAAAAGTCTTTGTTCCTTTTACTTTATGCAAGAAGAACTTTCTAAGGCAGGTATAGTGAATTCTATCTCATCTCATCTCATTGCTGTAACTTCTACTAAATAAGTACTATACATTTCTCCAGTTGAGAAAATCCTCACATGCCTACAACAACATGAAATGCAAAACACTGGCTATTTTATCTATCAGACATCCAAAAGCACATTAATGGAAAATTTTGTATTAGTTCCCTCAAAACCTGGGAATCGAGGCAACATATATTAAGTTTTAATGAGTCTTCTTTTCCATAAATTCTGTATCTAACTTAGTGATTTAACTGACCCATAGAAGTATAATACCATATGCTACTTAAAAGCATCTCACACTAAAGCTTATAAATTTACATATATTTAAGGCTATGTCTTCATTGCAAAAAAAGGTTTGGGGTTTTTTTAAAACAGTGGGATAACTTAATCTGAGCAAGGTCATGGTGGCAAAACTCGAAATCAGTTTAAGGCTATCTAGGAGCAGATCAGGTCCACAATTACCACCTTTACTGAAGAACTTGCTGAGAACACTTTGCTGTCAATGCTACTCAACATTTTTTTAAAATGGAAATTTTTATAACTGTGATTGGTGCAAAGCACAAAGCCAGAATGAACAATATACCACAAATTCTAAGCTGAGAAAACCTAATTGTGTTTTTTACACTTAGTTTTCACACAATCTGGATTAAATGTATTTTAAATGCCTTTTGGCATGTGAAACCACAGCCTAAACCATCTTTGCTAAAACCATGAGTGAGACAAGCTCCCAACAGCTCTTATTGTAAATTCATTTGTGCAAGGTTTATGTCCCCTGAAGGGATTGTAAGTTTTAGCCTCCACGAGGGTTTCACGGCAAACTAGCTGCCACGACAATTATTGCACAGTCTGCATCCTGTCTTTCTCAGCAACAAAGGAAAAACACTAAGTTAAACTGCTCCATTCACTGGGAGCTGAGGATATGTTACATTATGCAACAGTGGATCCCATATCTACTTTACTGCTCAGATTGCAAAATTCAATCTGTAATGCTAACGATTTTACTGCAGTACTATCTCCTGTTTATCAGCTGGATTTCACAATATGTGCAATGTTAGGCAAACATCTCATAAAAGCAGGTGCTGCCAGGTGGTAACACACACCTACTGGCTTTGTGTCAGTGATCTGCCTTACCTTGTAAATGGCTCCTGAATTTTGCAAGCTAAACTGAAGTGCTGAACTCTAGTTAAAATCCAACATTGAAACCAAAGCAATAGCCAAAATTTACTAAAAAGAGAATTTTACATGCAGTTCAGGATGCTGCTTATTGTTTGTTTGTTTGCTTACTGTAGTGAAACACTTACACAATGATATCTTCACATTTCTCGGATCACACGTTACACAGTAAGCTCCATAACCAGCCACGGAGCCAAAGGTGAGTCCAGCAGCTAAAGAGATTTTACTACCTGCAAGAAATCATTCAAGTGTTATTTCTCAATACAAGGTTTTTAAGCTCAATCTTTATACAGCAGCTGTCTCTCTACAATAGAACTGATTTTGCCACATTCCAGCTTACCTCACCCAGTGTGAAGAGAGAGGTAATATTTCTGTAACTGGGTCATTCTAATGTGTGGGATTAGGAGCAAAGCCGACTAAGTTAGAGGGAGATGATCAGGATCCAGTAACACTTGCAACTTGGGAAAAATACAAAATACAACCCTACATTTGGCTATTTTCTCTATCATACTTATGAAGGATTTTTGTAATTTCTCTGAACTGTATGCTCATTTTAACTGTATCTTACAGCACTTGGAAGTCTCCAAAAATGGTAGAAATGTACCAATATATAAAAAGAGCAAACTGGAAAACATGTGTGGTCTTAATGTCAGGCCTTTCAGTCTGACATCAGTCCTGGAAAAAGAAGTGCTATCGCAAACATCACATTTAATGAATAACGAATGAAAAAACAAATAAATGGCCGTGAGGATGAACACAGGGCTTCTAAAAGTGACTTGACATCTTCTTGCAATGCTATTGAAAAACTGGTTCATAAATCCCGTATATATCCCAAATATTTTACATTTCTGAACAGACATTTGTCTTGGTACCATATGATAAAAGCACAGAATCTGCACAGCAGACATTATTTGAATTAAACTGATCCCCAGATGTTTATAAGTAAAGAATTCAGACCCCCGATAACATTTAGTTCCCAATCCTTTTGAGTACTTTTAATCAAGATTTTGCAAGAAAATGTAAATCATAACCAATAAAAAATTATCTAGATTTGCCACGAGGATCGACCAAGTATTAAAGAGTGAAGAGAACAGGTGAATGGGATAGTCAGTGAGTGCAGCTGGCTGCAAACACAAAACCACAGCGTTTTCAGAAATTCAGATGTGAAGCCGCGTCTCCGAGAGCAAAGCACGTGCACACTACGAAGGGAGACGGTGACCCTAAGCCACAAGAATCGTGACGGACATTGCACAGGGACGGTGACCGGTGCGCTGGGGCTCCCGCCCGCCCGTCCCCGGTACCGCTGCGACCTCTGCCGGGCGCTGAGCCGGGCACGGCGCTGCCACGGGGACTGCAAAAACCCTGGAATACCGAAACTGCGCTTTGTGGTACACTGCCACCTAAAACCTGACTCGTTGTCCTACTGCGAAAAGGCACAATTCTAACAGCACCAGAAAATTAACCACCATAAGTAGAGGTTTTTTTCACACCGTGCATCTGGAAACGTCAGAATCAAGCCTGGATTTCTCTGTAGAAAACAAGCTTTAATCAAGGATATACTGTGCTCAACATAGGAATGATTGAAAGGTGATGAGAAAGCCCAAAATGCACTTAAGGTCAAAGATAATATGACAACCCACACTCTTTGCCCGGAAAACAAACTCATTTAAATGCTTAAGTTGGCCCAAGAGCATCTCATGAAACTCAGGGCATTTACACCAGCATATGATGGATGTAAAATGCAGCTTTGCTAATTACAGCAGTTTTTGTGTCTCATACTGCATAGAAGAAATCAAATGCCTGACTTCCAAATCCTTCTGTCGCAGTACTAACCTTTACGAGTGTATGCTACAACACCTCCAACCACCAGCAATGAAGCATATGCAAAACCAATCCAGTCAACAGCCATGGTCCCAACTCTGGAAAAAAAAACCCAAATATATTGCAACTGAAGGCAAACAAATTCCTTCCTCCTGGTAAAAAAGAAATAATTACTTAATGGGTTCTAAATAACACTACACCCTCCTAAGTTGTGCTTGACTACTGTGTCAAAACATTCAGAAGGTGAAGGTGTGCCTGTTGGCTATTGCACCATCCTTTCACTAACTGCTGACCCTCCTTACACCCCGGTATGGGTATACCCATATTTCCATTAGAGGATTTTTTGGACATATGTGGCATATTTTTTCCCAGTTACAAATACATGTATGCAGGCAAAAAGCTTGACACCATCCAAAGCATGTTTTGTTGCACTTGTGCCATGCTGCTGAGCTGAGAGCACGCTATGGATGCATACAGGTCTGAGCGCTCACCTCAGTGCTTTCATCTCCTTTCAACCACACTATACCTGGAGCACTTCAAGCGGTATGTAACAAACCCTGCACCAGGGTCTGTTACATTTCACTCTAAAAATACGAATTTTTAGAGTGTATTCAAAGTTTCCAGACAGAAACTTAGGCTGTTTTGGGAAGCTACACATACCTATACTTTACCCTGTATCTATGCCCCTTTTATTTCACCTTTATATTTTGATGCACTGTCTGAAGTTAGGCTTCTGTTCTGCAGAAAGCATTTAAGGTTCTGTTGTGTTGCTGGTCGGTACTTCCCTGGCAGTGCTGTGTAAAGGCGCCAGTGGCAGAGCTCTGCAGCCAGAGAGCCCCTGCAGCAGCGCGGCCTCTCTCCCATCAGCCGGTGGAGCACACCTTTCCCCTCCTCCTCCCAAATTAAGCGTACACTTAATTAAGCACATCCTTCTTTATACCCCAGCGCGCGTGCCCTTGACCAAAGTGTTAAAGCGTGCTAGCAAAGAGTGCTCACTCAGCATTTCATGTCAAGCCTTTAGTATTTAAAGTAAGCAATTCGCAGCGAGCCCACTCCTCCCCAAGTCGTAACCCTTCAGGACAAAAGGTGGGTTTAGGGGGCCCTGGCACCCCGGAGAACGAGGTTTGCAGAGGCGGGAGCCAGGGATGCAGGGGCCAGGGATTGCCAGGCCTTTGATGTGCCTGGCCTTCGTGGCCGCCCCTCGCCCGGACCCGCAGCCCACATCTCGCTTCCCAGCGCCGCGGCGCAGCCCCCGGGCCAAGGCAGGCGCCTGCGGAGGGCGGCCCCCCGCCCCGCCCAGCCGCCCGCTCGCCCCCC